GCGTGTGAGTGTGAGAGCGAGAGTGAGAGTGAGAGTGGGAGAGTGAGTGAGTGTGAGTGTGAGTGTGAGTGCGAGTGTGAGTGAGAGAGAGGCAGCGAGTGAGTGTGAGTGCGAGTGGGAGTGAGAGTGAGTGTGAATGTGAGTGTGAGTGAAGAATGAGTGTGAGTGCGAGCGTGTGTGAGTGAAGTGAGAGTGAGGGTGGGCGTGAGAGTGAGAGAGTGGAGAGCACAAAGCGCTGCGCCTGCCACGAAATCTGCACTTCGAGGTTCGCAAAGTACTGCGCCTGCCGCGAAATCTGCACTTCGAGGTTCACAACGTACTGCGCCTGCCACAAAATCTGACACTTCCAGGTTCACCACGCGCTGTGTCTGCCACGAAACCTGAACTTCGAGGCTCACCACGTTCTGTGCGTGCCACGGAATCTGCACTTCGAGGTTCACCAAGCGCTGTACCTGCCTCGAAATCTGCACTTGGAGGTTCACCAAGTGCTGTGCCTGCCACGAAACCTGCACTTCGAGGTTCACCAAGTGCTGCGCCTGCCACGAAATCTGCACTTTGAGGTTCACAAAGTGCTGTACCTGTACCTGCCACGAAATCTGCACTTCGAGGTTCACCGAGTGCTGTACCTGCCACGAAATCTGCACTTCGAGGTTCACCAAGTGCTGTGCCTGCCGCGAAACCTGCGCTTCGAGGTTCACCAAGTGCTGCGCCTGCCACGAAGTCTGCACTTCGAGCACGCGCCACGAAATCTGCACATCGAGGGTCACAGAGTGCTGCGCGTGCCACGAAATCTGCAAACGAGCCACAGTCCAAAAGTCACGATTCACTGCACCTGTCACGAAATCTGCTCGACGATCACCACCATGTCCAAAGTGCTGCGCCTGCCACGAAAACTGCATTTCGAAGTAGAACAGCTCCGATCAATTGCACCTGTCACGAAAAGCCGACTTTGGAGCACCAAAACACGAGGTTTCCCTTGCGCCTGCCACGAAAAGTCACCACCATGTGCGAAAATGCGCACGGCACCACAACGAGAGCGCAGTCGCTAGAAGCACCCACCGGCGGCAGGCAGATTTTGTGAGCCTGCGCAGTTCGACGATTTCGAGAAGCATGAATGTGCTGTAAATAGCAGTGAATTAGCCGGTCAAGCCCGCGCGCTTCAGCGATCCCAAGCATCAGCTGCTTTCTACTCCCGTAAGAACCCCTAGTGTGCCCACACTGTTTGGTAAAAAATTGAATAGCATCACAAGAAAATATTCGGCAGGGACAAGATGAAAAACGGGATCAACAAATTTTCACAGTGAACAATGAAAGGAAAAGGAGACTAGGGAAAGGACAACAACAGCAGGGCGAGCGACCAAAGGACCATGAAAGGATGTTTGCAACACGTGATCAAAAGACTTAGGTGACAGCGTGCAATACTTGGCGTGGATATGCGCTGGGTGACCTCTAAAAAGTCGGTCGTGGCAGGCCCAGTGCATTGGCAAAAGTAATGCAGATTTCGTGGCGGGGGGATTGCAAACAAAAACAACCAGACTCTGAAGGCGCCACAAAACACATCATCATCGAAAACTACACACCCTACTGCCCCATCAATGAAGGGCCCATCCACCACAGGACAATGAAAGGGTGCTTGCAACACAAAATCAAAAAGACTTATGGCCAGCGTGTGCAATCTTGTGTGAATATGCGATTGGTGCCTGGTGGCCTTTGGAATATTGTTTTTGTTGTCGTCGGAGGCGCAGCGCATTGGCAACAGTAGTGCAGACTTCGTGGCACTGGAGGGAGGCTTGAAGAGCACCTCCCCCAGAGCAAACCGAGCATCAAAAGCCATCACCTTTTTGTTTCACAAACCGCATGCTTTTGACCAATGGACCACGAGCCAAAGGACTGGGGCACCAAAGGACAAGGGGACCAAAGGACCAGGGCACCAACAAACTAGGGCACCAAAGGACCGGGACCAGGGGACCAATGGACCAGGGGACCTACTCAGGATTATTACTTTTTTGATCCTGTCCTTAGCTATTGTTTTGTTCTTTTGATCTAGATGCCCAAGCTTGGCATCTGACCACATCTGAAGTCACCTCAGCTCTAAAAGCAAGAGGCACGATGTATGGTATGGCACTTATGGTTCAAACCTGTGCGCAAG